AAGGCAAAAACTAGTTGCATCCAATGCCATTCTGAGCATGTCTTTCCCAGGTTCCAGAACCTACATCAGCTCTCCAATGAGTTGCATCTTCTTTGCATAGAAATAACTCTGCATACAGGACTTCATTACATTTTTGATGACTGACTGATTCATTAAAATTCAAACTCTGGCATGAATCAGCCTGTGGGCTCAACAGCTCACCACACCACTCTCATTTTTCCACATTCTTCATTAAGACCACCCTTGGTTGACCATTCCCATCTTCAAACCAACACACCTGCTACAACTTGAATGTATTCCCCAAATGTTCATGTTAATTCCCAAATTCATATGTCAGTAGTATTTACAGGAGGGCCTTTGGGAGGTAATTAGGACTAGATAAAGTCACGAGGATGGGGTCCTCACAATGACATCTCTGGCTTAGAAGAGAAAAAATGGTCTGAGCTAGTGGCTTACTCTGTCTTGCTTGTGATACCTCTGCCATGTATGATACAGCAGGAAACCTTCACTAGATGCTGAGTTATTGCCAATGCCAAGCTCTTGGACTTCCAGCTTCCAGAACTGTGAGCCAAACAGACCTCTATTCTTTACAAATTACCTGATTTTAGGTATTTTATTACAGCAATAGAAGAACAGATTGGAACAGTTATCCATTTCCGTCTTCATGCCAACACACCCAAATCACTTTCATCAAGAGGTATTTGGTTCCCATTCAAAATTCAATTCTCCATAGCAAGTAGATTAATGGTTGACTAGGGCTGGTGGGATATGGGTTGGGAGGGATTGAGGGTGCTAGCTAAAGGGTACAGCTTAGTTTGTAAAGTGAGGAAATGTTTTAAAACTGCAGATGTTTATGAGAATACTAAAGACCATTGAATTAAATTATGTTTTTTTTCACCCTGGGAATTGAACCCAGGATCTCATGCATTTTCTACCATACACTACCACTGAGCTAGACTCCCAGCTCCAAATTCAACACTTTAAATAGGTGAATTCTATGGCATGTAAATTAAAACTCAATAAAGCTATTTTTAAAAACTCAGCTCTGTACTCATCTCCTCCAGGAAATTTTCTCAGAAAATTCCACTTCAAACAGTAGAGAAAAGGGAATTATTCACTCACTCATTACCAATTTAGTCATCAACAAACATCTATGGATCCCCATGGAAGGACAGGGACAGTGAGAGGCAGTGAAGACATAAAGATAAACAAGATCAGACTTGGAGTGTTCGAGTGTCATACTTCTGGTCCTTATATCCCCTAACCATACAAATTTTACCCTATTCTCCACTTATTTCTCCCCAGGGTTTAAGGAGAAGAAGGGGATCTCCTGGTACTCTTCTTCGTATTTAAAGCTCAGTGCAGTTAAAATTCATAACCTATGGCCCTCCCAGCCCCTTACCTTCTCCCTCATCAGACCAAATTCTGTGTCAAGCCTCAAAGACATTTTTCTCTATTGAAGAAAGGTAGATTTGGGGTGGGGAATGTGACGAGGTATGCTAATCCTCCTTAATCAAAGCCAGAGCAGAACCATTTTCTAATCTTATTTCCAAGTCACGTAACATGCAAGGAGACTCAAGTGCTGCTCTGGGACATGTGAGTACTAACCTCATACTGTTAGGCACGCATCTACTCCCTGTGAGAGACTCACAGAATAATGACAAGCTTTCACCCTTGACTGGCAAGAGGAAGCTTACAAAACGTTTTCCCCTGTATTACCCTTGTGACCTCCCCTCTTGTGACCTCCCATTAGCCCACAGATATTCCCTTCCAAAGATGAAGGTAAACTTGCCAAGGTAAACTGATGTATCCAAGGTTCTACAGTGAATCGAAGACATAATTAGGTGTGAGCTCAAGTCTTCTGACTTTAAGCTTGATGCTCTCTGCCCTCCATGGGCTCTAAATGCCAAAACCTTCTCAGGCAATCTTGGTGACTACTACAGGTACCTGTTCACTTGATGGCTCACTTCTTTCCAAGAAGCCTTCTATCTCCACAGGCAAAAACTAATGGGGTTTTATTTTAGACACAATCCAGACAGATTCCAACAGAGGCAGGATAGCAGTGGTGAAGAGTAGAGATCTGAATTACACAAATTTAGGTTTGAATCCAGAGCCAGCTGTTTTCTACATACACAGCCTGCCCTCTGTATCTGAGAGTTCTGCATCTGTGGATTCAACCAACTGTGGAGAGAAAATATTCAGATTTGGAAAAAAAAAAAAAATCACCTAGCCAGGCCCCATGGTGCACCCTTGCAATCTCAGCAACTTGGGAGGCCAAGACAGGAGGATCACAAGATCAAGGCCAGCTTGGGCAACTGAGCAAGACTCCGTCTCAAAATAAAAAATAAAAAGCACTAGGGATGTAACTTAGTGGTAGAGTGTCCCTAAGTTCAATTCCCAAGAACATACATACACACAAAAAATTGCATCAATACTGAACATGTACAGACTTTTTTCTTATCATTATTTTCCAGATAACTCAGTACAGCAACTATTTAGGTAGCATTTGCATTTTTTAAGTGATAAGGTAATCTAGAGATGATTTACAGTATGAAGGAGGATGTGCATAGGTTATATGCAAATGCTATGCCATTTTATACAAGGGACTTAGTATCCTCAGGAAGTTGCACAATGAACTCCCTGTGGATACTAAGGGATAACTACAAACATATATTCATCTAATCCAACAAGCCACTACTTAAAAGGCTTTCTTCAACTTTCATAGGAGGCAAAAATCCTTCCTGATTTTTAAGGGTATGATTCCCACTCCAACAAACCTGAAGATTCCACCACACCCTTAAAAAACACTCAAAACCAGGAACACCTTCCTTAAATCTAATTAGATCCATCCCCACGCCCATGCCAACCAGCAAGGCAAGACTCTTTTCTCCATATTTTGTCCTCAGTACACATAGCAGAATCTTAAGATCAAAACATGGTCTCTTTTAGAGACTCTCAGCAAACTGCAACAAACTCTCAGTTCAAGATTCCCTCCTGCCAAACTCACCCCATTTCTCTCTATTCTCCGGTAAGGGTAGCAGAATGACATCCCAGAACAGAAAGACTTACCCCCAGATTCCACAGAAAGACCCAGAACAAAACTTTGCACTTGCGTCAGCTGGGAAAACCACATTCAGTCATTGAAACAGAAAATAGAAACTCTGGAAGGCTTAGAATGCTCATGTTCTGCCTAACCTGACCCCACTCTTCAGCACCCAGCTCAGACACATGACTCACCTGTTCCTTCTGTCTTTCATAGGGTTCCCGTTAGCCCATCTTTTGCCCCTCTCCTCATACTTTCCTGTTATTTCCTTCTACCTATCTGTGTTTGTCACGATTTGAGTCTCTTCCTCCCAAAAGTCTTCCTCTACTTCTCCAGGGTTCTCTTTTCTTGTATAATCAGTACCACATGGCATAGGATGTGTCTACCAGGGACTCCACCTTTTCTAAAGAGTGAAACTCACATGCCTTAATTTGATATGAGTGTTCTCCTATCCTTCTTCTCAACTTCCACATCCCTCACTCTACCCAACCCAAAACACACACTCTCCTCAACATCACTACAATCGGCTGACGTCACACTGCGCTTATAAGAACACTCAGTTAAATACTTGTTGAATTAAACCGAATGAGCCAGTTGCAGTGGTGCATGTCCTGTAATCCCAGCAGCAGGGGAGGTTGAGGAAGGAAGATGGCAAGTTCAAAACCAGCCTCAGTAACTTAGTAAGGCCCTAAGCAACTTAGCAAGACCCTGTTTCAAAAAAAAAAATTAATTAATTAAAAGGGCTGGGAATGTGGCTCAATGGTTAAGCTTCCCTGTGTTCAATCCCCATCACCCCCCGCCCCCCATAAAATACAATACAATGAATGAAAGTGAACAGATGGGGTAAAGGAATCCCTGGAAAAGTGGTCAATGATTCAGTTACTTCACACAAAAGCACAAATCTCTGTTAGGAGTCAGGGCCCTAGAGTCCAAAAGTAAATGAATAGGGTAGATGGTATCAATGAACTACAGAGGACTCCCCGCCCCCACAGGAAATGGACTTGGTTCAAACACAGCTTCCTGAAGCAGTTCTTGCCACCAAGGCCAAGTGGAGTTGCCCTATGGGTTTCATACCAATTTTCCTTCTGTGGAAAACGAACTCGGCCCCCCACCACTGCCCCTCTCAGATATCACTTTTACCCAGCAAAAAAGTAGCTGGCACAAGCCACAGTGATATGGAAATGTGACTCTGATGTGGTAGAAAATGTGACTCACTCAACATTAATACTCCACCTGAACACATGTGGGTTGGTTTAAGGCAACCTAGTGTAGCCGCATGGAAAATAAAAACTGAAACGGAGTTCAGCAATGGACGTGGACGAGCCTCTCTGTAACTATCTCCATCTGTAGAAGAGGAATCAGAATAGTGCCGCCAGAGTTTCTGTAAGGATACTTCCTTTCACTCTACTGATTTTCCCCCCTTTTCTTTTTTTTCTGGTACCAGGGATTGAACTCAGGGGTACTTAACACATCCCCAACCCTTATATATTTTTTATTTTGAGACACAGCCTCGCTAAATTGCTGAGGCTGGTTTTAAATTTGCGATCCTCCTGCCTCAGCCTCGCGACAGATGGGATTACCGGCGTGAGCCACTGTGCCAGGCCTGTAAGGATAAAATTTGGAGACACATGGTGAGGTGCCCTCACATAATAAGAGCTCAATAAATACTAGCTGCTGCTTTTTTTATTATTTATTTTGCTTTGAAGATCAAAGGAGATGGAATGTAGCAGGAAACCTCCTGCCAACGTGTCATATAATATGAAGCCCCTGGCTGGGGAAATGGGCGCCGCGTGTGGAAAGTATAATAAGTTCAGTATCCCTGATCCCCGGCGCTGAGCCTTAAGCCTACTCTGGTGACAGGCTCCTGCTTTGGTCCTGGAAGTTTCCACCAGGATGCCCTGGGGCCCTGGACGGCTCTGGGGAGGGGCGGGAAGGCAGGGGCGGAACAGGGACGTACCTGCTTTCACTGCACTCCTTCCGCTCCCTCACCCTCAGCCACTTGCGGAGAAGGAAGCGCTTTCGGCGCGGGGAAGCGCTGGGTGTGGAGCAGTTGGACCACGGGGTGTCCTCGTCGCTGGAGGGCGTAATCTCGATGGACGGCAGCTGCAGGAACTCCTTACCAGGAGCCAAGACGACAGGCAGGTCCTGCGCTAACCCGGCCTCCAGGCTCTGCTCCTGCACGTTCTTCATCCGGCGCATCTTGAAGCGCCGGCGGCGGAGCGTGGGGGTAGACGAGCTGGACCAGACCGGGCTGCTCTCCTGCGCGCCCTGCGGCTCGGGCACCTGCAGGGCGGGCAACTGCAGGTTCTCCATCATGTTGGCCGCCGGCATCGGGGTCTGTCGTCTCCGCGCTCCCTCCACGCCCTCGGCCAGCAGCCTCGCTCGCGTCTCCTGCTCGCTGCTCCCCACCCCGGCCCCTCGACACACGGTACCCTCTCACGTTAGGAAACGCTTGCGTCTCTAGCTGCTACAAGAGCAAGTTCCTTTTCCTGGAGCGCGGCGAGGAAGGGACGCTAAGCGACGCGGCGCGCTGCCGCCCGTAGTCTTGAACTTTTCGGAGCGCGCTTCCTCCCCGCCGTCCGCCGCCGCCGGCGGGGCCACCCGGGCGCGGCGGGAGCCGCCTGCTAGCCACCTGGCCGCCCTCCTGGGGCTCCCCTCGCGCGCGCTTGTTTGTCTTCCACTGCGATCTCTCGCTTGCTTGCGTCTTTGCCTTAGCGAGACTCGGCAGCCCGGGGCCCCAGGGGGCGGCGCAGCAAACTCTCAGCGGTTTGCGTTCAGCAGACCAGGTTGGGGAACCGGCTTGACGCTGCAGGGAAGTAGAGAGCTGGAGGAAGAGGCAGTGGTAGGAGGGGAGGGAAGGAGAGAGAGAGAGAGGAAGCGAGACACTGGATAAAAACAAAAAAGGAGGCGGAGGAGCAGGGGGCTGGGGCGGCGGGGGGTGGGGGGCTATCCAGAAAGGGTAGGCTGAAGCAGCGACAGCAGTGTAACTGTACACGGAATCCCTTGGGGAGGGATCTACCTCCCAGTAAAGGCTGCTCCAATCAGCCTAATGAAATAGGAGCACGAACCAAACTTTCTCAGAGCAATGATTGGCTGGGCAGTTCTCATTATCAAACTCCTTGCATTTTTCTGGGGGAGGGGGCCCGAAGCGGAGGGTGAATCAATCCCCACTCTCTCGGCCACCCAAGGTACCCGGTTGAGGGAAACCTGGGGACTTTTCAACTAAATCTCTGCTCCTAAGAAAGGTGCTTGCTTTGAGTTATTTGGGGTGCAGATGGGGACACGGGAAGACTTTACATAGTTATTGGGAGAAAGCAAGATTCTTGGAGGCTGCTTCCAAAATGATGAGCTGAGAAGAAACGACAGTTCTGTGGCACGAGCTGAGGACACCAAACATGACATACCAAGGAAAGACAGACAATAGGACACACGGGACCAGTAAGGAGAAAAGACTGAACCCTGTATAATCTTCAAATACCATGGCCCCATCCCACGGAAACAATGAAACAGAGAAGGGCAAACAAGACAAGGCAGTGCATCAACAGAGTCCCAGGAGTCAGGTGCACCCCTTTCCATTCCTAGCACTGTTTACATTCTGCTTCAGCCTGCCAGTGTCATGGACTGGGTCACAAAGTCTGGTATGTCCGCAGATCACAGAACCTAGAAGAGATCCGAGTTCTAGTGGTGTCCAAAGATGTGTTGAACCAGCCCTCCCCAGACCTAGGTACCAACCTAAGAGATGGGACTTGGAAGGGATCCACCCTGTGGGGGGTTCCTCTGCTGGACAGAATCCAATCAGCCTAGCTGCTATCATAGAACCCTCCCTTTTCTTCCCAGCAGGACAGTTGCCACTTCAGTACAAATAGACTAGGAGGGACCCCAAAGACTGCACAGAGTCCACAACTGGATCCAGCCTCTTCTCTGCCTTCTCTGTGGGTCCAGTTTCCATTTGAGAGTCAATGCCCAGATTCTGGGCCAGGATAAAGGTTACATTTCATAAGTGTCCCAAAGCTGAGGAGAAATTACATATCCAGAATTTACTGCAACAACAACAAAAACTATATCCCTGCAGGTCAGCAAAACATCAAGGGTGACACAGACAGCTGGCCATGGGTCCATCACGCCTTGCAGTGACACATGGGGCAGCTCAAAGCATCCTGACATGGCATAACCTCTGAAAGGCTGTGAAACCCAAGGAAGTGCGTCTTACTCAAGGAGAGACTATAGCTGAAAAGCCAAGGCCAGGCCCCCCCCAAAATTACTTCCCCCGGAACATGGGCTTCTGTTTCTGACTCTTCACATCCGGGCACTGGCTCTCTGAGGGATGATTTGGTATCACTCTATTTTAACTCCTGGACATGGCATGGAAAGGAGAAACCCCTTCCCATCAGGTGTCAGGACTGGCAAGGCGTAGGCACCTCTCCTGCTGCCAAGACACTGAGGAAGCTGTACTGTCACTCCAAACTTCAAGATCAGGAGCTAGGCCAAGGCTCCACACAGTTCATCACTGCCTTGGGTTTCCTCCAAGGAGGAGCACTTTGCAGAGGATCTGACAACTTCCCAATTTCAGGACGCTGCCTGTTAGATGGATTGTTGAAATAAGAGACCAAGGTTGCTGGTATGTAAGGGAACAAAAAGTCAGGACACCACCATTCATTTGAAAACCAAAAGTAAATAAATAGCTCCCACCCCCCCCACACACACACACACAATTCCACGGGTATTTTGGAGAGAAGGAGAGTCAATAAAGGGTGTAGTCCCCTTTATGCTTGTCAGGTGCACTCTGAATTTAAACATATGCCTCTCAAAAGGAAGAAGAGCCACCAGTTCCCTCTTCCCACACACTTCAGCCAAGTGTCCTACAATAGATTCTGGACCCCAAATCCTGTGAGATTTAATTTAAGCTTTGGGCACAATACTAGTTGAGAATGATCACCTGGCCTGAGGCAAAACCTCCTCCAAACCAAATCTGAGAAGGTCTCACTTGATTTGGAAGCAGACACCCAGAGTACCTCTTTTCCCTAACACCATCTTTAGTAACTCAGGTACCACAGCCTGCTCCAGGGCATCCAGCACTGGAAAACATAAAAATAAACCCTAACACTGTCCTTGCTCACTTCCATCTGCAGTCCCTTCTTCCTTTCAAGCCATAACCTTATTAATCCATTAAAACACTAATCAAAACACACCCTAATAAGGTAATAATAGGTCACTGCTTTGAAACATGCAATGCTCTTCAACTATGAGCCATTGTCACTTGAAAACTGGAAGCATATTGAGGACAAACAAATTTCTCCTTCCACTGAGTCTCTATAGAATCCTGTGCTCTTATTTGTATGTAACTTTTATGTTTTTTAGAAGGACTCTCATATGTCACATTGCCTCTTTCCAGGGGCCCTAGCTGTGAGGAAGAACAGGACATATTCCTCTCATTTTACACTTGATAAAAGTGAGACAGAGAGTTGCAGTAATTTATCCAAGGTCAACAATAAATGACAATGATTCATCGATGACAAGGCCAGAACTTGAACCTGGGCCTTCTGAAGTCAGTTTAGAGGCCACCAAAATCACATCAAATGCATTAGCTCCGGAAAGCAGTATGAGTAACACCAGAATTTTACTAACTCTGGCTTCAGTTGGGTACATTATGAAATTACATGGCGCTGTTTAATTCCAACAGTAGTTTTACATGCAGGAAAGTGGAAGCACGATGCTTAGAAAAACAATTGCCCAGTGCAGCTGGTATCAGGGTGCTAGGACCAAAGAGTTTCCAGGACCCTCTTTTAGAACCTTAGCCACTGCGTTCACTCACCAAGCTCCCTCTAACCCCCACCCTCTGTTTTTCCTCTCTCCCGTTTTGGTTCTCAGTGACTCCAAGGTTCTCTGGGAAACTGACCTCACCTTTCCACCTGCCTCCGCCCCCCAGACAGGTGGTGGCCAGACCAACTCAGGCCCCATCCCCCAACACACAGCTAGCCTTCTGACTTAAATGAAAGAAGCTCAGATTACCAAGCAACTGTTGTTTATTCTCAGCTGCACAAGCTCCCTTTTCCGGGATACCCAACACCTGTCTATTACTCCTGGAGACCCACAGAGAACATAGTCCATTATTCAGTAGAAACCTTCAGCAGATAATTTAATTGAAAAATAGCAACTTAAAGGATAGTTTTCTCTGGGGTGTGAGGTGGAAGATGTAGGCCCCACTAACCTATCGTCCTACCTGTCCCAGGATGCCAAGGGCAGGAAACTCCCAAGAATACAAGGGTGTCCCCTTCAACACTGTTACTGCAAGACAAAGAGTTCCCATCTCAAGCCTGGACACAGAGTTTGCCCTGAACAGTATTCAGAATGGCCAACCCTAGTCATTAGTCTTGGTTCCAAGGAAAGTAGCAGGCATTGGACACAAGTGAGACTTGTTGCTCACAGGGAAGGTGGAAATATGGAGGATATTAGAACAAGGGGCAATCTCTAGCTTTGCCTATTGCTAAACAATAGAAATGAGTTGGCATAGAGTTGGCTACCTCAGGAAAGCAGTTCAGGTCAGGTCAAAGTTTATCATTTTATTTAGATTGTGATTAGCAATCTAAATAAAATGATAAACTTTTACCAAGGGTAAGGCCAGTTAAGGACTAGAATGCCTTACCAAACCCAGTTAGAGTGGCTTTCTCTTTAAAGGTAACTGGAGCCTCCTTATAAGCAGGGGAAGGAAAGGGATTATCTCTTAAAGGCCCATACTTACCTTACCGTTTTGGGTCTCTAAGGTCCAGACTCTTATTAAAGTGAAAGCAATTTGCTTCTGCCTAAAACAAAGTCTGTCTGAAGGGACCACCACTGGCTTTAGGCATTTTGATCACACATGCTAAACACCTCTCAGAAACCCACAAATGGCTTTAATATCTTGCACAGTGAGCTAGAAATACAGTGATCAAACGCACTAGTGAAGCAAGGGACTGGGGTGGAGGATATGGGGACAGGAGAAGGAATTGGAGAGAATAATTTAAACTCTACCCATGGCCTCTCCTCTCCCTTTCACTAATCCCCAGCAGAAAGCAGCTAGCTACTTAAGAAGGGTCAGAGGAAACTGCACTGGATTCATGTGGTTAGAGAAGAAGGGTAGAGTATAGGAGGCTGACACTGGCTAAACACAATCTAAATAAAATCATGGTTGACCATGCCATCATGTCCTGCTTCTCTTTTCTGAAGAAAAAGGAGAAATAAACTTCAAAACCTTGATGGAGAGTTAGTTCCCCAGAATACAGCCTGGGGGAAGGGGGGCTGTCAGCCTTGGGGAATGCCCAAGGTCAGCAGAGGTTGCTTCCATTAGCCTTCACTGGAGCCAGGGTGAGCAATGACGTCACCTCAGGAGAAGGACTGCCACCCGATAAGCCCTCCTAGTTTCATAGCTCATTAAAAGTCCTAGGAGTCGGAGGTTGTTTTGCACAACAACATTTGGCTACCTTTGTTTTTGATACCAGAATACCAAGGCACAAACAGATATTATCTCTTGTCCTCTAGATCTTGCCAGGACAATTTTTGTGCAAACCAAGGCTGGAAAAGACTTCCCTGCAGTCACCCCATCCACCCTTGGCTGATCATCCCATGCTTTAGGTACTCAATTACATTCCTCAGAAGCATCGTGGAATATATCAGCCTATCAACTAGTTATTAAAAGCACAGGCCCAAAGTCAAGCTAGCAGAGTTTCTGACTTCTTGCTATTACCTACTATCAGACAGGATGTCTCCATCTTTTTATCTGTAAAATCAAGATCCTGAATAACATCTCTCTCCTGAAGTGGTTGTGGGCATTTTAGAACAATGTAGGCCATTTAGATCAGAGCTTAGCACATAGTAAGAGCTCTATAAATGTTAGAATTTGCTGTGTCTATTTACATTTCCTTTATCGTGCCCTTGTTAGGAAACAGGACTATTCATGTTCATTTCCAATTCAGATCAATTCTACAAGTAGTTGTTAAGCTAGACCACTCTATAAGACTCCTAACTGAGGAAGTGATAGAGCACAGCAAGATAAATAAGATGCACTTTGTACATCAGAGTGCACAGTCTAGCAAGGCAGGATTAATGAAGGGCAAAAGAGATATGAGTGGAAAGATTGATAAATTTTAACTAGAGGGAAAGAGGTGGTATAAGGAAGTCCTATAGAGGAACTGGCATTTAAGACATTAAGCATGCATCTCAATAGAAAAGAATTGGGCAGTAAAAGTTTGAGAGAAGGCAAGGAAGAGTGAATACTCAGTTTCTGAAAATAAGGAAAGATGTCACATTATATTAAAGGACATACTAGAAGATGAGGTGGAAAAAACAAGGGAGAGATTATGGTGAAAGTTGAAATTTAGGTTTTACCCTTCAGATAAAGGGATGATATTCAAATTGGCTTTTATTTTTATTTTTATTCTGGGAGGGTGACGTTATTGACCTGTATTTGGGGAGTATCAGCTCTAGTGATAGCATGAAATATGTACAGGAAAATCAAAGGGGAGAAGTACATAGATCAATCAGGAGACTAACATTCAATCCACAAATACTTTGGGAATATTGATCATATGAATGGCAAATAGTTCAGATAAGAGATGGGAGAAATTTAAAATATGGCAGGAAAAAAATGTGGAATAAGAAGAGATGGGCAAGGAAAATGGGACCCATGTGAAGATTTGTTCAGAGATAGAATGGAAGAAAACCAAGAAAGGGGAATGATTCAGAAGTCAAGAAAAGAAAGGAACCAGAATTTATTGCCTGGTTACAGCAAGACAGGTAGTGTGCTAAGTGCTTCATGTTCTAAATTGTATTTGACTCTTCTAACAGCCCTGAGAAACTGCTATCAAAAGCCCCATTTTAGAATAATGAGAGATTTTACAAGGTGACTTGCCCAAGGTCATATAGCTAGGAAGTGAAAGATGTGCATTAATTTAAACTGGGGTTTCTCTACTTTAAAACTTATACTTTTTCAGTTGTATCACACTTCTATAAGACAAATTATATTGAATGCTATAATATAGTCAAACAGGAGGAAGACTGATATAATTTCATTAGATTTTATAATTAAGTCATTGATAACCTCTGAAAGGAGAAATGAGATTGCGATAGGTTAAAGAGTAAACAGAGAAGGAATAAATGGAAGTCTGCAAGATCAGACTGCACCTTCCAGAAATTCGGCAGTGAATAGAATCAGAGACAGCTATTCATTCTCAAATGGTTTTGAGCATCAGCTGTGTGTTAAATACTTTTCTAGGGCCCAGAGTTAGATTGTGAAAAGTAAGTGTTTATGGGGTGGGGGTGGGGGTCGGGTAGGGAAGAAGGACAGAGGGGGACAAGGAAAAAAGAGGAAGGAAGAGCCCAGTCAAGAGAACAGTTGGGGAATGGAATAAAGTGGGGTTTTTTCCCTTTTAATTTTTTTTTTTTGTGTGTGTTTTATTGTTGGTAGATGTTAAGTTTCAGAGGAACAAAATGTAACTGCACGATTATGTCATTTAAAATGGAGTTCTGCCTATACCTGCTAAGAAAATTGAAGCTTGGTGGTGTACCTGGTAATCTAGCAAATCAATCAAAAAGTATTTAATATTCCCAGATTCTAAGCATACCATAATTCTCAGTACTATAAAGAATTTCTTAAAAGTGTATGTAAAACTATTCAGTTTTTGAAAATGTTTTGGATGCTTATCATAGATGACTGTGGCCTTAGTTGCTTCAAATTTGGGGGAGGGGAGGAAGGTACAGAAAATCAATCCAAGAACTACAACTTGGTAGCAAAATCTACCTTGGTTGAAATATGTACCAAGTACAGTGTTAATACAGGGGAGAAAGATCCTGATCCAGAGAACTTTGTAGCAGAGACAGTACCTAGTCACGTTTTGAAGATTGGTAGCAAAGTTTTCCATGTAGATCAAGATAAGCATGTTTCCAGCAGAGAAGCCACGTGTGAAAAGTCAATGAGATACAAAAGAGAACATGGCACGTTCTTGGATTTACTAAAGAACAGTTTGCATGGAGCATAATGAACATTCAAGTGGGCGAGGTTTGAGGGGGAGACATTATGTTACTATAAATCTTCCCTTGTTCATCCATTTAACATATATTTATTGAGCACATCATTCTAAGTGCTGGAAAACAGGGGTGCACAAAATCAAGTCTGGGCTTTGGAGGAGTTCACATTCTAGTGATCCCAGAATTCCAGAATGGCAGAACAGAGATTTCCAAGGTCTGATTCAACCATCACTTTATCTTCTTTGTTCCTTTTTGGTTTACAGATTAGAAAACAGAGGCACAGGGAAGCTACACCGTTTTACTGAAATCACACATCAAAAAGGTGGCACTTCACAGATGGAAAAGGACTTTGCATACAAAGACCAAGACTGTCAGAGTTGGAAGCTTAATTCATTCAAGAGGAATCTCATGCTCTAGCAAATGATTTCTTTTAAAAGTTAAAGCAGCCAACCAAGTCTTTTCTGATAGGAATGTTGGTTGTTCCACTGCCCCTCAATCAGAAACCTGTTATAGACAAGCAAATCAAGATTCACAGAACTTTTCATGTTTGAGCCAGTGCACTCCAACCGCTTCTAGGTTCAGAAGGGTGATAACTTCTTATCCTGAGATACAACACTGAGATCATAAAAGTGAAACCAGAAACAGTTGCTGGGCTTATTCAGATGGGATACAATAGTATACTACTCCCCACCCCCACCCCCCACCAAGGATATTAGCCTTTTCATACTATGCCAAGCAAAAAAAAAATGGAATTGCTTTGTTATGATACAGGAAGGAGCAAAAGATGGTGTGACTCAATGGAGGATTTTCATTGGTGGCCCCTGTAATCCAGCCCTGGTCAATTATTTCCATTGCACCCTGAGTCATTTATCTTTCTGCAAGCAAAGCATCTGGAGGCAGTAATTGTAAATAATTCATTCCTGTACAATTCTGCAGTTGGATTTAACTCTGATCTCAATGAAAGTGACAATGTTGGATGTTCCCACTTTTTAGAGATAGTTGGTTTGCACCTGCGATGGCTATACTCTGCCCCAGAACTGTCCTGAGGGGTAGAGCTCCTGTTTATATCCCCCTACCTCTCTCCTAGGAGCTAAGACTCAAGATCACTGTGCCCACACCTTGCCTTGATCCAGTGACTTCATGATATTTTACATACTCTGAAATTGAGATTTGAGGATTGGTTGTGGTAAGTGATTTTTTTTTTAATATTTATTTTTTGGCATAGATGGACACAACACAATGCATTTTATTTTTATGTGGTGCTGAGGATCGAACCCCTGTCCCGCCCGTGCTAGGCAAGCGCTCTACCGCTGAGCCACAATCCCAGCCCCATGGTAAGTGATTTCTAAAGTCTTGTAGCTCTCAGAGTCTATAAACTAGAAAGATCTACTTAGGTTGAAGCACTCTTGATAGCTAACAATAAATATCTAAAAATATATAAGTCTAGAAAAATGCTTTATATAAAATAAATCACTAATTTGACCAAAATATTTATTAAAAATAGATGTTTTGTTGCATGCATGATTTTTGTGTGTGTGTGTGTGTGATACTGAGGATTGAACCTAGAGGCACTCTATACTGAGCTACATTCACAGACCCTTTTATTTTTTGAGACAGGGTCACACTCAGTTGCCTGGGCTGCCCTGGAATTTACAATCCTCCTGTCTCTACCTCTCAAGTCACTGGGATTGCACTAGAATTACACCACATTCAGTTACAAGGATGAAATTTTTATTCAATTAATAAACTTGAATAAGGAACATTCTATGAGAAAGCCATCTGTTGAATAGAGTTTCCAAATAGACATTAAATGCATCGCTAGATATAGAGTGACCCTGTTTTTCTGTGTTTCCAGGAAAAGAAAGAGCTTCATTTCCTATGCCCTCTAACACTCCCTGGATAGGTGAGCAGGTAGGTCTGGAAGACACTAATTCGGCCTGCCAATTGGGGATTTTTATGAACAATAGACTTTCCCTGGGTGATAGAATTATAGGCCTGGAAGAAACATGAAACATTTAGTTCAATGCCCATCCTTCTTCCACCATATTTCACCCGGATTCATGGTGAGAAACTGAAGAGTTGGCAAGGTAAAGCTTGAACCAAGGTCACAAAGCTGGAGGTGGAACAGCTTTTGTCAAAACATACTTTGGTCAAATTCTATCTGAGCAACTCCCAATATTATTTTGGAAGTAGTATCTTTGACCTAAAGAATAATTTAAAAACAAATTACACCAAGGAGGCCTAACTCAGCCTGCCTTTGAACGGACACATTTTGTGAGCATCCAATTCCCTCATAAGCCCCTACAAAGCAACAAGCTAATCAAACACAATACCTTGCTAGAACTAATCCCAATGTGTGAACATTCAGATTTGCGCAAAAGATAGAGTATTTATATTGCTTTTGGAAAGGCCTTTTTGCTTTACATAAATGGAATTTCTTAATGTGGGAAATTTCCCTAAAGCATTTTAAATATTACTTGATTTATACACAGTCTTGCAGAGTACCACTGCTTGATAAAAGTCTATCTGTAAATAATCAACTTATGTGATCTTACACTGTTGATTTCAAGTAAATATAGGGCAACTAGGACTTGAACCAAATGAAAATCTGCTTCAATCAGGCATTGATTAGAAATGTTCAAAGTCTTAAAAATTTTCAGAAATCACCTAAGATTTCTTGAGCCAGATCCTGTATTTTTCTTAAGACTTATTCTATTCCTATGAGTCAAATGTCACTCCCCCCACCCCACTCATTATAGAGATGAGGACGCAAAGACTCAGAGAAATTAAGAACTTTAAACATCAGATGTGATTCGAACCCAGTTATTTAATCCAAAATTGTGTTTTATCGACTTCACAGTTAATCCATTTTGACTTTCTATAAAATATCTATTTTCAGGCATCATTTAAACTGGTTCTCCCTATCTTTCTTTCTTTTTCTTTTTTTTTTTTTTTGATAAAGGTTTATTTGATTTTCAATTTTGCAAATAAATTAATATTTGAAATTGCAATTTGCTCTGATGAGCAAGATTTAAGCCTTTAAAACTTTGTTTGTAGAATTTGTTTTCACGTTTAATTCAGTCAGCTTCTGTTAGTTCCCTAACTAAAATACACCACAAAGTTAAACCAATTTCTTTGGGAGTTCACATTGAATTCTAAATATTTTTTAAAAGAGACACTATCTTGAATATCTAGCAGAACACCCTTGCCAGAAATAACAGAAAGAAATATCTTTGATTGGGGCTGGGAATGTGGCTCAAGCGGTAGCATGCGTGCGGCCCGGGTTCGATCCTCAGCACCACATACAAACAAAGATGTTGTGCCCGCCGAAAACTAAAAAATAAGTATTAAAATTCTCTCTCTCAAAAAAAATATATATATATCTTTGAGGGCATGTCCAGGCCACATTAATGTAGGTAGCCCTAATCACCAATTTTTGCCCAAGTGTCTCAAATACTTCTTACCTGTTAAGAAGTCGACCTATAGATCTGAGGCAAGTCAGCAGGGCTCAAAATCCTGGTGCTTCAAGGATCCTGCTATTGAGGATTAAAGACACAAGACTCCAACCTCTGGCCTTTTGCAAATAGGTCAGCCTGAGGCTCTGCTACGGTAGTTTTTATAAAATGGGGCTTGCCACCCTTTTCTGAAATAGTAGCTCGATAAACACTAGAAGACCTTTAAAAGTGGCTTCTCTATGTTTCAGTTTGGCTTCCACAGGTAGTTAAATTCTTTCCATGATGCAGTCAGACAAAAGCTTAAATCTTGCTCATCAGAGCAAAGTCTCCTTCCTGAAGTCTGGCTCAAGTGATCTCATTCCATGCGAGTTTGCCACCCAAGCAGGCCCTTGGACCTTGAACTCAGAGACCTTAGGTTCCATCCCATCATAAATTTTCCCAGCTTGACTCAAAGAACAAACCAATCATCACTTTTCACTCCTGAATGTCCTTCAGGCAGAGGGCACCTAGAATACTAAAAGTCAAGGCCACTGCCCCACCTCCTTCCTCTCTCATGTACACTCTCTCACACACAGGTGCACACACAAACACAGAATTCCCTCACTGCCTTCAGGAACCAGATACTGTTCATCTAAAAGTAAATGGTGAGTTCCCATCCACAGAGGTAGTGACACCCAGAATGACCCTGTCGGGGACAGTCTCACTATGTGGTTGAGACAGATGCCTTTGGTCACTTCTAGGTCTAAGGTTCTAAAACATGCCTGCTCTTGCTCTTCCAGTTGTCATTTTGTGACACCTTCTCTTTCTTATCTCCTTTGAGAATAGCTTCAAAATCCATTTAAATCTATCATTACAAGTAAAAAATAGTCTCAAATCAGTTTACCCATATCTCTTTCAACACATTATTTCCCATCTCATATAATAATAATTATTATTATTATCTCATATGATTTATTATTATTATTATTATTATTATTGTTATTATTTTGTGGTGTTGGGGGTGGAAACCAGGGCTTCATCCATCCTAAGCGAGCATTCCACCACTGAGCAACATCCCAGCCCTGTACCATAATGACTAGTGTGAATTTTCTACTTCCTCCAGACCGTAACTGCCATCCAGGCAAGATTTATGTTCCATTCATCATTTGTCATTCTGTTATTGAGCTCACTGATCCATCCTGAGCATTTACATTTATGTTCAGTGAATGTCTGTGAATGAAGAAATGATAGCGGGGGCAACGAGGCCAGGGAGCCAAGTTGGGAGGATGATTGATAAGGCATTCCGTGCAGTTAGTTTCCCGGCCTCAAAATCTCTAGAGATTGTTCTTCTACCACAAGACCCTTCTGGAGACACAAAAATTAAAGAATATTGTTCATCTTGGCTCTGCGGTTTCCCTAGGGGGGCAGCTCTGACTGTGAGCTCTGACTGAGCCTCCATCACAGGAGATTTCAGGAAGGAACCTGGGGCCACAATGCTCTTTGCCCAGAACATTCATTCATTCCTGATTAACTAAAAGCCCAGGTTTCTAAGTTAAGGGTGTTTGGACTATGGATCTTCAGGGAGCACTTAAAGGAAGGAATTAGAATGCATTTGGAAATAGCTGTTTGTCTCATAACTCATAAGAACACCACTCTGAATTGGAGTTCAATCAATCCTCTTTCTCCTGATGGCAAGGGTCTCAGCTTACCATCACTGAGACATGAAATTTCATCCAGCTCTCTTGCAAAAGTCTCTAGATATACAACTCTTCCAACTTCCCTTTGGGAACCCCAAGAGACCTACATTCTGATGCTGGCCAGCTCTTCAGATAATAACCACCCTCTTCCATAGTTCCTTGTCCAAAGGGAACTGACCAGAAGGCCAATATTAAGCCATTATTTAATCCCTCCTAAATGTCTGGTCATTCCATTTGAGTTTCCAAGTAGAAAGTGTCTTTAAAGGCATCTTGTAGAGTTCAGGGCCACTTTTTTGCCCTGTTTACTGTGGCACAAAGGTGAGGCTTACTTATTAATTATGAAATAGCTGAGTCCCCAAACATATTACCATGCACTTTAAAAAGAAAGAAACACCTTATGTGAGAATAGTTTTGTATTTCAGAAGGTGTCACATATTTTTAAAGCTAGACTACTTCTACTTCAGCCTTCCTGTTACTATTCTGCTGACAGTGCCCTCTCTTGCCCTACCTCGGGACTACAGCGCATTGTCCAAACAAAGGGTTTTGTATTTCATTGGCAATAGGTAAGTGTTTGGCCCAGATTCCAGGAAAAATCCACTTATTTTCTGAGAAGAAACATCACAAAGAAGAACATGTGTACACAGATTCTCCACCGAGGGTGGGAAGATAATTTTGTTTAAATTAGACTAATACCCAAATATAATCATAGTAAGAGTAGATAATATTTACTACACATTGTCTTTATTCATTCTTAAACCAAACCAGTGTATTAGTGGTCACTCCCATTTTCAAAAGGGGGAAAAAAAAAAGAGGCTTGGGAAGGTCATCTAAAGATACACAGCCAATTGGCACCTGGGCCAGGGTTCAATCTAGATAATCTGGCTCTAGAGCTTAGGCTGCCACGTGATCAACTTGGCCTCCTCCAACATGAAGGAGTGTCTCTTTCTTTAATGTCAACATCTCAGTTCTAACCTGTGCCTGACATGCTAACTTCATTGCTCCCTTACAGCGACAGTGGTTCTGCCATTTCGTTATCATCTTCATCACAGTCGAAGGAAATTAAAAGATGGCATTTTGATTTTCTATTCAAGTGGTAATCTTCCTGTGAACCTATACTGCACAATGATTGCAAATGCCTGTACAAAATACCATCTTCAGTCTTAATATCCATCATATGACCTGTTTGAAATAAATGTAAATATGGTATGTACAGACATATATGCCAGACTTCTGAATTCTCAAGGCTGGCAGGCACAATTGCATCTTCTTGACATTTATAGGTTGCTTTCCAATTATAGTAAGCTTATAATATTCATTTATTTCCTCACTTACAGGGGGCTCGGTGACTGACAGTGAAATGCAAGAGTTCTAGAATTAGAATATCTGGTTCAAATCCTGGATCCCCCACTTATTAGAAAGTTAATTAGTCTCTTAGTGCTTCAGTTAACCCATATGAAAAATCAGATTCATAATAAAAGTGACTGTCTCAAGGACTTGTGAGAGATTAACCAGTCTCTCCCACATAGTTAATGCTAAGAAAAATCCATGGTGGCCTCATTTTTATGTATGCAGATGTGAGTACATGTATCATACATTTATCACTAGGGCAACAAGGTACGCAGCATCCACACACCATAGAGCAATATAAAAAAAATCCACGTTTTCCACACAATGCCACACACACACTGCATATATGAAATCATTTCCCACTCACACACCCACAAGAAAAAGGTGGATAAAGACTGAGGTCAAGTTAATAGCTTAGAATACAGGTTTATTTATTTTAAGGCCCATGGACAAAGGGGAAAGTGGCAAATGGTAACAACTGGTACAATTATGATCATTATTGTTATCATTATTATTATCACTGCATGAATAGGGCTTGTCAGCATCTCAGATTTCTGCATCTCGGATTTTGCTTTTTGTAAAGGAACTAAAGAATGCTTCATTGCTCCCTTACAATGGGAGTGGTTTTGCCATTCAATTATCATCTCCATCACACTCAATAGAAGTTAAAAGATGGCATTCTGGTCTCCTATTCAAGCGGATGATCTTTCTGACTTTCATTACAGGAGAAGCAACTGGTAAAGCTAATGCAATGTACTGTAACTAATGCTTTGGAAATGCCCAAAGCACAACAAACCTAATCCACTTTGAAGACTAACTGTATTCAGCATGCTCGGTTTTATATGAAGCTATATATTATAGTAAAATCAGCTCTAGGGGAAAATCCTCTTTGAACTAAAGCTAAGCCATTTTTATTTATTTCTAAGACTTATAAAAACCTGATGCAATATAAAAAACAAAAACAAAAAAAATCTCAATATTAAGATCCAATTTAACCCTTGGCTGAGCTACAATAATAGCATATATGTGGGTTTTGCACATAAGCTAAATTCGTGCACATGAAATCAAGAATTTCTATGATGCGATTGGTTCAAAGCTGCTATATATATATATATATATATATATATATATATATATATATATATATATATATATTTGGGGTTTTTTTTTTGCAGTACTGGTACAGGGGTGCTCTACAACTAAGCTACATCCCCAGAACTTTTTATTTGTTTATTTACATTTAAATTTTGAGACAAGATCTTACTAAGTTGCCCAGGCTGGCTTCAAACTTGCAATCCTCCTGTGTCAGCCTCCCAAGTCACTGGGATTAATGTGTGCACCATCACACCTGGCTATAAATATTTTTTTAATCATACACACATGCAATTCCATTTATTTTCTAGTTCAAAAGGTTTTACATGTTGCATATTCCTAACATGTTTGCTGACATATTGGAGTTCCGTTCAAATGGAGAAACATGTTCTTTCCCATCATAACATATACATTAGTAAATTCTTCCTTACAGGTGGAACTCAGCCTCGGGATCTGCTGAGTGTTTCTTAAACTTCCCTAGCATCTGAGTCAAATCTTTCTGCATACTGCAGGGCACCATTGCTTCTTGATCTCTCGTAGTTGCAGTCCAGTGATTTCAGAGAGACTACCTTAGACTGCCCTCCACTTGGCCATGGTAAGTTTCTCCTGGGTCTGTCATAGGTGATTCACAGCCTTCCTTCACCTTCATCCTGCAAATCATAAGCATGCTCTATGCACCAAATTTCAACTTGTTCTTCTTACTGGCACGCATATGCCTGATAATGAGTTGAACTGGGAAAGGGAGTTTTGTTTTGTTTTTGTTTGTTTGTTTAGTGCTGGGGATTGAATCCAGGATTGAATGCATGCTAAGCAAGCACTCTATCACTGAGCTACATCCCTTGAAACCAGAGATGCGTAACCACTGAGCCACATCCCAAGCCCTATTTATTTATTTATTTTATTTGTTCTAATTAGATATATATGATAGTAGAATGCATTTTGATACATTGTATACAAATGGAGCACAACTTCTAATTCCTTTGGCTGTATATGGTGCAGAGTCCACTGGTAGTCATACATATATAGAGAGTAATATGTCCATCTCATTTTACCTTCCTTCCTACCCCAGCACCCTCTCCCCACCCTCTCACTCCCCTCTGCCCAATCCAAAGTTCCTTCATTCTTCCCCACACGCCACCTCCCCCCATTAGGGATCAGCATTTGCTTATCAGAGAAAACATTCACTCTTTGGTTTTTCTGGTTTGGCTTATTTCACTTAGCTTGATATTCTCCAGCTCTGTCCATTTACCTGAAAATGCCATAATTTAATTCTTCTTTATGTCTGAGTAATAGTCCATTGTGTTCACAGTTTCTTTATCCATTCATCTGTTGAAGGGCATCTAGGTTGGTTCCACAGTTTGGCTATTGTGAATTGTGCTGCTATGAATGTTGATATGGCTGTGTCACTGTAATATGCTGATTTTAAGTCCTTTGTGTATACACCAAGGATTGAGGTAGCTGGGTCAAATGGTGGTTCCATTCTAAGTTTTTTGATTCTAAGGAATCACTAAGACTTTATTATTATTATTATTATTATTATTATTATTATTATTATTATTATTATTATTATATTTTGAGACAGGGCCTCACTAAGTTACTTAGGGCCTGGCGCTAAGTTGCTGAAGCTGCCTTTCAACTTGGAATCTTTCCACCTCAGCCTCCCAAGTCACTGGGATTACAGGTGTATGCCACCAAGCCCAGCTAAAATACTTTTAATACAAAAAAAAAAAAAAATGGAAAGAAGAAATCAATGATTTAGAAAAGAGTGTCTTAAAACCTAATAACATTTACTTACCCAAAAGATTTCCTGGTGGAAGACTCCGTGGTCTGAGTGCATCCCACCCAGGTTTAAGATCTTAACTTGACTAAGATCTAACTGGCCCTGCAGGATCCTGATAATAACATAGATTCATCCCAAGACCAAGCAGATCTCAGCACTTCAATTGACTAGATATTTCAAAGCCATCCTTGAAACTTGAGCAGGCCCTGAACTTATAATAAATGGGACCCTAAGGAGGGGTAAACTTGCTTCCCTAAAACCAAAGCAGGCAGTTCTGAATGAATTTTGGTAATGAACTACCTTTTGAAAAGCATGCATATTGGGTGAGAAAATCTTTGAAAAAATGGTAAACCCCATGAATCTCAGAATGAAGGAGAATTCCAGTCTTGCTCTGACACTCACTTATTGAGTAACTTAAAGTGTTTTTCCTATTGTTGTAATCTTAGTTTGCATGTCCTTTCATTCATCTTTACAAATTTACAGTGCAGTTATCATAAGCCAGACACTGTTTCTGTTCTGAGTAAAACACATCAAAATTTATCCCTGGGGGTGTACACTTATAATCCAGCTACTCAGAAGGCTGAGGCAGGAAGATCACAAGTTTGAGGCCAACCTCAGCAACTTAGAGAAACTGTCACAAAGAGGAAGGATGGGTGCACTGCTTTTAGGGGATCTGGACTGCAGCTGCCATTGCGAGGACTAGCAAGGTTGGCTCCTGGATCTAGTGTAGGCATTGAACTGTGACTTGTGGCCTGAGCTCTCAAAGTTCAGATGGAACCTTGGAAGGACTTCTGGACACAGCTGATTTGCTCAAGTTAGCTGTTTCTGCTGTGTCTCACTGGGAGCCTGGGGCAAAGAAGTCTCCCCTTCTCCCAGAGCCTTGTCTCCTTTCCCGTTACTCCTCTACTTCTTTTTCTTCTCTTCTTCTCACTAAGATTCCCCTGCACATTTTCCCCTATCTCTTCTTTTGCTTGTATAAGCTCATTTTCCCTTGTTCCTAAACCTTCTGCCTCCTAGGGTTCTCACCTTCATAACCTTCCAGCTTCTATCCTGTCCCCTCCCTGAGCTGATAGAATGAGAAGTATCTGGCTGGGGTCAAAGAGAGAAAGGCTACAGGGCTAAATGGAGAACCTATTTTTAAATCTGATCTTGTGGCTGAGTAATTCCAACTCCACCACACTTTGAGCTCATCGGAACTGAATGAGGGAAAGTCATGGCTCTATTATTGGCCACAAAAGGAATAGGCACAAGAACACTCACTGTACCTTTGGGGGAAGAACGTGGTAAAGGTTCTAGTCTCTCATTTTTGGCTGTTTGCTGTATTGTCAAGGTGGTTATTGCTGTTTTCCTTCCTATCCCTCCATACTTTCAGGCACCTAAGTCACCTTGAAAGTCAAAACAAGGCTTACCTTCACTTTGCACAGGTATATGGCAGGAAGCCTTGCTAGCTGCAGGCAAAAGTCCCAGAGTTGTAAGCTGGCTGGTCTCCTAAGTTGGCCAGAAGGTAATTAGCCTGTGTTATGGAAACTCAGCACTAACTAATGGAGTTAGACAATGCATGCATTTAAAAAAAAATAGAGACAAATAAACAATTGACAATAGTGATCTTATTCTCAGAAAGTCCTGTCTGGGTGTCAGAGCAGGGAGGGCAGGCAAAACAGATAAAGGCAGAAGTGTCCCAGCTGAGGAATGCAAGTGCTGGGGCATTTCAGGATCAGAGACAAAGGAGGCACAGCTATTAAAGTGAAACCCTTTGGAACTGAAACACTGCTACATATACTAACAATGTAATTCTTATATCGCTCCAGTAAGGGAAGTAGGATAGGTGTAATGTTACTTTATAGATAGGAAACAAGATCAGAAAAGTCATATGACTTGCGCAAACCTCATAGTAAGAGGGAAAGGCAGGGTTTCCAGCCAGGTGTGCCCTTCGTAAATTACCATAATTATCCAAAAGCTTGCCTAGCAGTAATGTGGTAAGACAATGATAGTGTTGGGAACTCAGATCTTCTTTATTCTAGTTTAAATGTCTTTATTTTTACCTTAAAATGCCTAGGTAACCAAACTGGGTAATCAAATTTCTTTTCCTCAGGCTCTTGTAATGATTCCTCTAATCAGTGCTGCCTCTGAACAAATACCAATAAAATTACATAGAGGGAAGCTTTACAGACCAGCTCAGGGCGTGTCCTATTACATCCTGTCTTTTGAAACAATAAACATGGCACCTTATCTGGAGAGTAGAAGAAGTGTTCTACTTTCAGCAGGGGTGGCTTTTGTCTTCAAAGGGAAAGCTCAATAATCTAATCTTTAACAGATTGAGCCAGCATTAGTATTAGGAGGCAGGGCTGTCCTGTGGGAACCAAGTTCAGTGCAACTTAGAGATCATCTGGATTGTCCTTCCGGGGCTCTTGAACCTGCTAGAGAATTCCACTTACTTCTGGGTGGAATTAGTGTCTTACCATGTCTTGTCATTACCATTAGTGTCTTAGCTCATAGTAAGACAGACACTTTCTATCTGAGCTATAGACAATGCTCCCTGGCTCGAGGGTTGCCAGAAAGGGGGGTCCCCAAATTTGTCCTGATTTCCTTATGCTATTTTTTTTTCTTTTTTCTTTTGCAGTACTGGGGATTAAACCCAAGGGCACTCTACCCCTAAGCTACATTCTCAACCCTTTTTATTTTGAGATAGGTTGTTAAATTTCCAAGGCTGGCCTCAAACTTGGGATCCTCCTGCCTCAGTCTCCCAAGTTGTTGGGATTACAGGCATGTACCGCTGCTCCCTGCTCATTCTGACATTTTCTTAGAAAGCACAAAGCTCTCCATTTACACACTCAACTCATCCAAGCTATTGTGAAATTCAAAAAATATTCTGATCTCTTGGATGGACAATCATTCACTTTGGAGATCCAATACTTTTTTGATTTATTTTGGTTTTGGTTTTTAAAATAGTAAAAAAAAAAAAAAAAACCTAATATTTACAATTAGCCAGCTGGACTCAGTTGAGATTACCCCAATTTTGTTGGCAATATCCAAGGCATCAAAATAAAGAGCCAGTGAAAATCTGCTTTCGTCTCCCCATAGGGTCTGACCAGAGTGTTGACCTTGGCCACATCAATGCCATAGAGTTTCTTCATAGCCCATTTGGTCTGCTGCTTGTTGACCTTGACATACACCATGAGCACAAGTGTGATGTCAATTTCCTCCTTCAAGGCTGACTCAGAGGTCAAGGAGAATTGATGATGGCACAGTGGTTAAGCTTCTTTCCCCTGGGTGCTGTTCTGAGGGTATTTGGGCTGTCTCTAGTCACAATGTCTTAGGCCACCAGAAGGTGGATGTCCTATAGGTCTTCTGTGTGGCTGTGGATATTTTTAGCACTGCCTTCTTGGCCTTCAAAGCCTTGTCTCTCACTTTGGTGTTGGGAGCAGCAGGTGTTTCCTTCTTCACTTTTGGTACCATCTTTGTGAAGGGCCCAATACTGTTTTATTTATTTATTTTGGTACCCGGGATTGAATCCAAGGGTGCTTAAACCACTGAACCATATCTCCAGCCCCTTTTAAAATATTTTAATTAGAGACAGGGTCTCACTGAGTTGCTTAGGTCCTCACTAAATTGCTGAGATTGGCTGTGAACTTGTGATCCTCCTGCCTCAGCTTCCCGAGGCACTGGGATTACAAGCATGTGCCACTGTGCCTGGCTTTCCAATACTGGTGTTAACATAAGTGAGGCTTTGTTTCTATACGAAATAAAAGTTAGCAGGGGGGAGCTCTCAGCCACGCAAACAAACAAGTATTTGTAAAGACACAGCAAAAGGGCCAGCAAAATCCTGGTTGATTTTCTGTGCCAGTATAATGTGCCAAATTACTGTTTCCTCCTATTTCACTTAGTTTTTTTATTGGGTAATAGTCTTAGCAGCAGAGAGGCCCAAGAGTAACTTGGGCCCAGAAAGGCTGAACCATTTCTCCAAGTTTACTCAACAAAATAGCAACTCCTGGTTTAGGAATGACCATGAGACTAGAGTCAGCCTCACATGGATGTTCCAAGTTTAGCTACAGTACCAAAGACATCAAAAGGCCACTTTCCTGAATTCTATTCATTGAGAGCAACATTCTCTCATTTGAAATTGTCAAGATCATGATCCTAGCTCCTAGAGCTTTTACCTCACTGTAAAAAAAAAAAAAAAAAAAACAATCTTATCGCCTGGGATTCAACACCATGTGGAGACATGTTAGAGGGCAACAAACCATTGCCTGTTAGCTGTGGAAAAACCTAGACTGAGCACCCCCAGAGCAGAGGGCTCATTGAAAGTCATGTTCACAAAGCCTAGGTCAGAGCTTGGAACACAAATGGCCCTTGATACTTACTGAGTCAATGAATGCACCTGAACATTTGATTTTTGCAAGATGAGAAAGATGGCTCCTGTTGCTTATTTCTCTGTGCTCTGATTGGGCCCAACATGCTTTGAAAGGGTCATTAAACCAACTGTGTTAGCAAATGCCAAGCTAGTAGCTCCAGCAGAAAGGGCCCAACTCCCGGTGGCATGGAAAACAGGTTCTTACTGCCCTCTGGTGGCCAGGAAGATTTCGGCCGCCAAAGTCCCATAGTGGCCCTGAGGCCTTCAACTCAAATGCCTCCCGCCAAGAGCATCTGCTGGCTTCATGGACACACCCCTTCCACCACAGGAGAGTTCTTGGTCTGTGGGCTGGAAAGAGGCTATCCAACATCCTTGGAGGAAGCAGCTCATTCCTTTCCTCAGAGCAGATGAGAAAGTCCAGAAGTTAAAAGCAAACCCTTTAAAGTGAATCAACATCCAGAGAATGGTTCTGTGCTCTTAAGAGGTTCTCAAATTAAAAATAAATAAATTAATTAATTAATTAATTAAATTTAAAAAATCAAAGAAAATAATTTCCAGTCCAGAATGTTTAGATTTTGAATTATTGGGGATTTTCAGGTCAGGTCACCCTTTTGAGCACAAAAAACCCTCAGAAGCCCTTTCCAAACTTGTATTGCTACTGTTCCATGAATGTAACCCCATGGAAGGGAAAGGGCAACTGAAAATCCAAACCAATTACAGAAAAAATGATGACTCTCCTCATAAACCTACAGGAGGCTTCTCAGTTTTGTTTTGTTTTAGATGTGTTCCAGATGAACAAAAGCAACAACGAAAAACCTAAACTGCTGCAGGGTCCCCCAAGCCGACACCACTGTGCAGATGTTGGTGTGCACCCCACAGCTGGTTCCCCAGCACCTGGAACAGTGCCAGTCACATCAATATGTATTTGGTGAAGGAATGAATGGGCTGAGCCTGAAGAGAAAGAGGTACTTTCTGATAGAAAGCATTGCATATTGGTACCAAATGCATTGTGGCATATCAGTCAGTCTTAGCTTGCAGAGGATATCATCTCTCCCATTAAAAACCCTTTTAACCCTGGGCATGTGGTAGCTTACACCTGTAATCTCAGCCACTTGGATTACTGAGGCAGGAAAATTTCAAGTTCAAATTCTGCCTAGGCAACTTAGTGAGACTATGTTTCAAAATAGAAAATAGAAAGGATAGGGATCTAGCTCAGTGGTAGAGCACCCTAGATTCAATCCACAGTATGAAAAAAACAAAAACAGTGATGCTTTCATAGAATTCTCATTGATTTTTTTTGTTAATTTGTTTATTTTTTGAGAGACTGGGGATCAAACCCAGGGCCTCACACATGGTAGGCCAGTTTTCCACCACTGAACTACCCCCCCTCCCTTTATCTTTTAAAAAGATCATAGAATTTTAGGACTAGAAGAAACCTCATAAATCATCATTGCTCTCTTTATTTGGTTCCATCTGTTTACTTCACAGATAAGGAAAATGAAGCTCAGAGAGGTTAACCAACACACTGAAATTCACACAACTATTTAATGGAAGAACCTCACGTGGATCCAAGTCCTCACTCCGGGCACTTTCTAATGATGTTCAAAGTTTTTGATGGTGGCCCACAGTGAAAAGCATGTGACCCAACATACACATGTGCACACATGCACAACTAAAAAGAATCCCATGAAACCACACTCACTTTCCCCATGTAGCATCACTCTGGCCTGCTGTGTATTGTATTCTATTTTGAGTTTTTATAATATTCTGATCACCTTTTACTCAATTAGCTTCACAACTTAAGAACTTTTAATATCACTCCACCACAGCATCTTGCCTATATACTGCACTTGTAAAAAGGCTGACATCTTCCAAAATCTTCTACTAACAGAACTAGTGTGATCAATTTCTTGAGACCTCTTGGCTCAAAGATTTTTTATTTTTTGACTTGATACAAATACTATCTCTCACCAAGAAGTTTCATCTCACTCCCAGGAGTCTGGTCCAGGCAACCCCCCTTTCCAGCCAGAATAATCACAATAATGCATTTCTTTTTTTTGCATGGGGGGAGGTACTGGGGATTGAACTCAGGGACACTCAACCACTGAGCCACATCCCAGCCCTATTTTGAATTTTATTTAGAGACAGGGTCTCACTGAGTTGCTTAGCGCCTTGCTGTTGCTGAGGCTGACTTTGAACTCGTGATCCTCCTGCCTCAGCCTCCCTCCAGAGCTGCTGGGATCACAGGCATGTGCCACCATGCTTGGCTACACAAGAGTGTATTTTAAATGCAGACCAGAGTCATCAGAGGCGACCTTGTTCCCATTCTTGATTGGCCCTCTAACCCCCAAACTGGAAGGGCTTTGCATCTCTACGTGAAATAGTATGCTCTTATCTCCCACTAGCCTCTCCGCAGCTGTCACTCTCCACCTGCCCTGGGATCCTGGGAAGTGGGTGGAAGGTGGCCGATAGAAGTAAAGTGGAGAAAGGTCAGAGGATGATAAGTAGGTGGGTCTGAGAAAGTCATTAACTACATGAGTGAGTGCAAACAGATGGATGTCTGGGTGGTCTTAAGGTGCCAGCAGTCTCTGTCTCTCTCTGAGTCACAATATCTTCTCCTTTCTTCTCTCAATCCCATTATTAGATCATTTCCTCCACCGTCTCTTCCTCTGACCTCTTCTACTGAATTCCACCACCTCCTCTCCCCCTCCCCTTTCTTAATATGGTAGAAAGATGAGTTCTTAGCCCTTCCCCTTCTAACTGACTGTTTGGAACTTTCTATTCCAACTTCTCATTTTCCTGCTGAGAATCACAGATTTTGGCAAGAAAGGCCTTTGTGGTAGCCAAAGCTGGAAACCACCCCACAGCAACCTGGGCACATTCCCACGGCTCCCTGACACCAGGCAGAATTTCCAGAGTTGGCGACAAGTCCCCTCTTCTCAGGAGCAGTATAAAATCTGCAGGTTGCCCCCATCCCTTACCAATGGGGCTTGATCTGGCTGCCAGGCAGGGTAGATAAAGTAGTGACAACCACCAGCCAGGACAGAAGGTGAGCAACCATTTTGAATATTTCTTGCCCATTTTAGATTTCTCAGGTACTCTTTCTAAGACTAGGGTTTCAGATCTCAGGTTCTGCTCCTCAAAGATTAAGATAAATCTGGGGGACTAGGGGCTGGGGATGTGGCTCAAGCGGTAGCGCGCTTGCCTGGCATGCGGGCGGCCCGGGTTCGATCCTCAGCACCACATACAAAAAAGATGTTGTGTCTGCCGATAAGTAAAAAATAAATATTAAAAATCTCTCTCTCTCTCTCTCTCTCTCTCTCTCCCTCTCTCACTCTCTCTTTAAAAAAAAAAAATCTGGGGGACTAGAGGGAGCCACTCTAACTCTGCCACTGATGTACTGATTGATCTTCAGTCAGTTTCTTGACCTCTCTGGTTCTCATTGCTGTGTGATCTTGGGTAAGTTATTTCACCTCTAATGACTCGGTGATCTCACTTTTAAAACGTGAGATTAGACTTTAAAAATAACAATTAACTGGTGATCTTCAATGGTCCTTTAAATTGTTCAGGGAATTAATTTATTGTCTTGAAAACTGTCAAGCAAAGGAACTACATCAAGCATTAATCTTCATTTTCCTGTTTTGACTGCATCCCTGGCTAGTCAGATAGTTGTCAAGAGAAAACACCCCCTTTAAAGGTATTCTTACAAATAAAGAAGTGATGGACTATCACCACTCTGCAACACTCAGTGAATCGACAAATCCAGACATTGTGCACCAAGGACTACTCACAGCACAAAAGAAGAGACAAGCAGACATTATGTGCTTCCCCACGAAAGAACATAACACCACCCACAATCTTGCCAAAAAGATCGAACCTAGTCGGATCAAACGTCTAGATCTAGCAATCAATTCACAGGAAATAAAGAGGACAGAGAACACGTTGAACTGCACTCAGAGTGTGCAATCAGCAAAATCCAAACCGTGAGAAACTTTACAGGGAACACACCCTGGGTTCTGCAAAACATGAAGTTTAATAAAAATAAAAATAAGAAGGAAAGAGGAAGGTGCAATAGGAACTTTTTTTTTTTTTGTACCAGGGGTTGAACTCAAGGGCACTCAACCACTGAGCCACATCCCCAGCCCTACTTTGTATTTTATTTAGAGACAGGGTCTCACTGAGTAGCTTATTGCCTTGCTTTTGCTGAGGCTGCCTTTGAACTCAGGATCCTCCTGCCTTGGCCTCCCAAGCTGCTGGGATTACAGGCAAGGGCCACCACACCCAGCATGCAATAGGAACTTGTAGAACTTGTAGAATAAAAGAGGGTTATAAAATGTGTTGACCAACTTTCCTTCCCTCTGTCCTACCTTCTTTCCTCCTTCTCCTATTTTTGTGGTTGGGGATGGAGCTCAGGGTTTTATCCATGCGGGGCAAGGGCTCTGCCACTGAGCTACCTCCCCAGGGCTTTTTATTTTTTTCGTTTTGAGATAGGGTCACATTAAATTGCTAAGGCAATCTTCCTATCTCAGTTCCCCAATCACTGGGATTACCAGTGTGAGCCACAACACCAGCGATGATCATTTTTAATGGGGAAGACTACATGAGAATTACAGTCAGATGATAAAGCTAAGAAGACACAAAGAAATCATTACTTTGAGTGATGAGAGCAATCATTTGGAGGATGGGAGGAGGATGTGAGGGGACCTGGGTACAGAAGGGCTTCCAAGACGCTAGCTGACCTACATTTCTTATGCATAATTTTCTATAAATCTAGGTTTATTATACAATAAGACAGCATCTAAATGACAGAATAGGGAAAGCACCCTTAATTTCCTGAAAGATAAAACACTGGGATTCTGAAATTCTCAATCGGAGAAGCTCAGGGGTTCTAATCCTAAAATCAATCTTGGACAATAAGAAAGTAGGAGCAAAAGGGCCAGGATTGTTCTGTGAGAAGATCCAGGCAGACCGACCTCAAGTCTGACTCTGCCACCTGTTTGCTGAGATGCTGAAAAATTCAGTTACCACTCTAACTCCATTTTCCTCACCTGCTAAGTGGAGGTAATCATACTCCTCCCTTGCTGTTATGTCAATCAAATGCCCTTCAGAGGGCTTAGCATAGACCCTGCGCAGAGTTAGCACTCAACACAGGAGCATTTATAATCATAATCACCTTTGTTATTACTATTTATCTGGATTTTAGGCCACTCCTAACCAGAGATAAACCAGAAAGCAAATTTCTCCTTAGAAAAGGCGTTGGAGAGCACAGCCCCTCTGGGACGCTAGCGGTGAGGCTGGCTGTGGAGGAAAGTTTACCAAACTTCAGGCTGGCTCTCTCCAGAGTGACACCCAGGGGACAGGGCGCCTCCTCACTTTATTCTTTCCCACATCACACTCAACCTGGCCTCCACCCTAAGCTAGTTGCATCAAAACCCATCAACTTAGTGGCCCACCTGTTCATGGTTCTTCTAGTCTCTGGTACCTCTGGGTACCACTTGTTATTTCCATCAGTCACTGGAGCCACTTTGTGAGAGGGAGGCCACCAGGATGAGCAGAAACCCATGGGAAGCAGCAGAGCCCACAGATTCATCAGTTCACTGCACTGATGATCTTCAGTCAGTTTCTTGACCTCTCTGTTCTCATTGACCTCTCTGGTTTCATCTGTAAAATGGGGATAAGAGAACCTACTTATATGGTCATTAAAAGGATTAAATGACTTAAAAATGTAAATTGCTTTTGACAATGCCTGGCACATTGTGTGGGGTGGGGTGGGGGGGATTGCATTCTGTTTTTCAGACTTCCTAAGTATTAGCTCCTTCCCTCACTAATTCAGTGATCTTGGATAAGTTGTTTATTTCTCTATATCTCTGCCTTTTTACCTATAAAATAAGGTTTACAATAGTAGTCAGCTTTCTGCACAGCCAAGGAAACGATCAAAAGGAAAAGGAAACCTATGGAATGGGAGGAAATATACAACCATAAGCCATAGACTAATTGTTCATGCCCCCCATAATTCATACCTGACATCTTCACCCCTAGGGCGATGCTATTGGAAGGTGGCCTTTGGGAGGTGATTGGATCCCAAGATGGAGCCCTCATGAATGGGATTAGTGTCCCCCAAAAAAAGGACTCCAGAGAGCTCCTCCCCATGTCCATCCTGTGAGGACACAGTGAGAAGAAGGCCTCTATGAAGAGGGAGGTCAGCAGATGTCAGATCTGCTGTCACCCAATCTTGAACTTCCCAGCCTTCAACTCTGTGAGAAAGAAATTTTGGTTTTCTACAACCCAACTAGTCTATGGCATTCTGTAGCATCACAGATTAATTAAGACCCCATGTGTCTGATATAGGGGTCATATCCAAAATATGTAAGGAACTCCTACAACTCAATAGCACAAAAGTAAATAACCCAATTTTAAAATGGCATTTCTCTTCTAAGGAAGAGAAACCTGTGACCACCAGGTATATGAAAATGTGCTCAACATCAGGAATCACTGGGGAAATGCAAATCAAAACCAAACCTGCTGGGATGCTATTAGGAAAAAACAACAAAAGCAAAAGGTAATTATTAATGAGGATGTGGAACAAAGGGAACTTCTGCATACCTTTAGTAGGAATGTAAATTAGTGCAGTTAGAAGACACTTGTTTGGATAAGTATTCTCCAAAGGCCTAAGGGTGAAAGCTTAGTCCACAAACCTGTGGTGTTATTGGGAGGTGGTGGAATCTTTAAGAGGTACGGTCTAGAGGGAGGAAGTTAGGATATTGGGGTGTATCCTTGTAGGGGTATTGGAACCTCATTTCTCTTAATCTCTCTCATTCCTTCCTGGCTGCCATAAGGTAGCAGTTTCCTCCACCATGTACCCATGAACTCCAACCATGAGGTACTATCTTGCCATAGGCCCTAAAGCAGTAGTTCAATTGAACACAAACTGAAACCTCCAAAACTGTGAGCTAAGGTAATATTTTCTTCTGTATAATTTTATTACCTCAGGTATTTTGTTATAATAAGAAAGCTGATTAACACAGGAGGACATTTTACAAATGAAAAAAATTGCCATGTGATCCAACAATCCCAATTCTGCATATTTATCCAAAAGAATTGAAATGAGAATTTTGAAGAAATATCTGCTGTATCATGTTCACTGCAGCATTATTCTGAATCATGAAGTCATGGAAGCAACCTATGTGTCCATCAATGGATGAATAGATAAAAAATATATATAGCATATATACATTCAACAGATAAATTGTGATATACCCATTCACCTGTAAATGGACTTTAGGACTTTTTCAAATTCTGGGCTGTCACCAATCATACCTCAATAAAGTGACTTTAACAAAAGATATTCAAATAAAAATAAGGGAAATGTATGAACGGCTAATAAATACATGCCTTCACACCCAACTTCTGGGATTCTTATGAACTGCTAGTGGGGATATAAACTGATGAAGAACTTTGGAAAATTGGCAGTTTTAAAGAAATGAAGTTCATGCAAACATTGTACCTGAATATTCATAGCAGCTCAACTTGTAATAGACCAGAATTTGAAAAAAAATCCAAAGTCCTTCCACAAATGCAGAAATATATTATGGCTCATTCAAAAACTGGAATATTTCTCAAAAATAAAAAGAAATGAACAACTATTATTTGCAGAAACCTGAGTGGGTCTCTATAACTATGACATATGCTGAGCTAAATGTGAAACTATACTTTATGTACATATATATAAAATTTTAGAACAGGTAAAATTAATCTAAAATTATGACTAACATAGATCGGGGAGTCAGATGTTTTATATTTTAGACTTTTTTTTTATTGAATGAAGAAGGGCACAAGAAATTTTATAGGGTAACAGAAACATTCTGTATTTTGATTTTGATGAGGTTTATAAAATATATACATTTGTCAAAATTCATCAAATGGCATTTCCTGTAAATTATGCCTCAATAAATTTGATTTAAAGAAAAAAAATAGTACCCAGCTTACTGGATTGGTGTGAATAAAAAATAGGAGAATTCAAGTAAAAATCTTGCCTCACACAAAATACCCAACAAGGATTAGCTATCATTATGTCCATAATTCCAGATTATGAGCAAAATTTTTGTTTTTTCTCTCTGCCTAATGGAGAGGCTGAAATTGTAGCCTTGTAGAGCAGGTTGGAGTCCCCAAGATATGGAAGTGGAGAGACTTTCATTCCAAGGGAATAGGACATTGCAAAGCAAGAACATGCTAAAGCCTGGTCATATTGGGCAAACACAACATAGTACCATTGGCTCAATCAGAAGGAATATCAATGCTGATAGTAAGACAAAAAAAATTATAAAAGAGAAAGCTGTTGCCAGTATTAAAAAACAACAACAACAAAAACCAGAATAATGTTCTAACTCTTGATTGGCAAGAAAAAGGATAATCATAATTCCTGGTTTCCTCAAAACAGTACAAATTTACATCACTGGATAATGCATAATTGCTAATAGCATCCTTAGCATCCTGTTTCTTTCTCAAAATTGCTCTGGTTTGGATAATAAATTATACTATCTATCATCTTAGCAATGAGAAACCTTTAAACTCTTTTTAAAAAACAGATCTGAGGACAAAAGGGCAGAGAAAGGATGATCTTATCAGAGTTGCACTTGACCAAATCTAGTTAGCCAGCTGCATGGGATTTGCACTGAAAAGGGGAGGAAATGGAAAGAAATGGGAAGATCATTGGGGGGGGGCGGGTTACAGATTTACTCCAGGGACGTAGAAAGAGCCTCAGCTGAGGTGCTGGCTGAATGTGGTAGACAGCTGATGAGACTGCCCCAGGGTCCCTTTAGAGTGACTCCCCCACCCCCTAGTGGCTGAGGCTGACCTGTGTGACCAATAGAATATTGTAGAAATGGCAAAGTGACTTCAGAGGTCAGCTCCTAAAACCAAAGTGGCATCCTTCTCCCCCTCCCTCCCTCTCTTTCTCTCTCAACTTTCTCTGGCACAAGACAGCTGTCATGTTATAAAAACCTTCAGACAGCCCTGTGGAAAGTACAAGTGGTGAGGAACTAGACCTGTCATCACCAGTCTTAATTTGCCAGCTCTGTTAGTGAAGCCATCTTGGAACTGGATCCTCGGGTCCCTGTCAGTGCTCAGATGACAGCGGCCCTGGTTGCCAACTATGTACAATTTCATAAGGATCCCAAGCTGGCACCATCCTGCCCTGTTTCTACTATATTTCTGACCCAGGAAATGTCTTAACCTGTAGGTGTTGAGTGATTCATTAAGTAACAACAAACAATAAACCACAGAAATTAAAAGAAAAGGATAGAGAGAAATTGCATAGGAAAGCCTAGAGTAACTCATTGGCTCTTCCTTCCAGCTCCTCTCCTAATTAACTGTGTTACTAGGGAAATTAGCTAGCGTATTGGAGTTCTGATTTCTTCATCTTTAAAACAGGCAGGCTTGACTAATGATCTTCCATGTCCCTTCTAGCTTTTAAATTAAATGATTCCATTATTCTAAAAGCACACATATTAGTCCCAGGGCAGAGTTTAGAAATTATCGTATTAACTGGAGGGCTCTGAATGTCTCTGGTCTCATCCTATTTAAAAATCTTATCAATGACGGAGTTGAAGATATAAAAGGCATTCTTGTCAAAATCAAAAATGATATGAAACCCAGAAGGAAAACCATCACAGTGGTTGAAATGTCTGAAAATCTTGAAATCCTGGAACAGTGAGTCAAATATATCAAGATGAAATGTAGCACAGACTCCTAGTCAGCCTGTGGAGTTCTGAGACCTCATCATCTGTGGGTGCACATGGGGATGTTAGGAGGGATATTAACTATTAGTCAACACCGTGAACTGGTTGCCAAGGAATTGAACCTGCCTTTTTTTTACTGACTTCATTTCTTCATTCAGCTGCTCTGGGCATTGGGACTGTAGCAATGACCGACACGTAGACTTGGACCATATTTATAGAATGATGAAATCTAAAAATAAGGGAGGAGAGAATGCCATTTTCATCTTTGCTTGGTCAGGTTGTATATAAATAGTGGACCATAGTCCTGTAACTTTATAGACAATCCAGATTTTGGTTTGAGGGGAGTTGCCAACATGGTTATGGAATTGAAAATAGTCAGAATCAATTAGCCTTTATTGAGTGGCTTCTCTGTACCCTGCTCAGGGATAGGATGTCCAGAGGGAAGAGAGGATGGTTTGGGACAGAATCTTGCCAAACACTATTACATAAAGGACAAGCAGAAGAGGATGCACAAGAGAAGCTGAGTGGGAGGAGCAAGAGAAATCGAGAGGTAGAACAAGAAAGTATTGCAAAGGTCAAAGGTATATGACCTGGTGACCTCTGACCTTTTCAATCTAACCAACTACATGAGTGCAGGTGTTTCTTAAATGTACCACACGCCTTCCTAACTCTGGACCCTTGTCTCTGCTGCTCCCACCGATTGGCATTTCTTCCCCCAGATTCACAGGTAGTCCAGTCCCTCACTTTGTTCAGATCTTACTCAGATGCTACCTCTTTGGAGAGAATTACATTGATCACTCAAGCTACAATAATAGCCCTCCATCCTACCCTGATTCATGCCTTCTCTCAGTATTAACTACCAATCCCCTATTATTTTATAATTTTCTTGTTCTTTCGTTTATGATCCCTATCCCTGTGCTGCCATCTCCAATCCCGGACCCCTGCGCCCCATATGCACACTGTAGCTTGGCCAGAACTGTGACTCCACCCAACTCCACACGTCTTTTTCACTGGTGTGTCCACACTATGTGGTAAGAAATGTCTGGGACACCTAACTTAAGTGCTTAGCTAAATATCTGATAGAAAAGTTGACTGAGTAAAATCAAGAGGTGAAAGAGAACCTGGTAAACTTGCTCAGAGAAATTTCCGTGAGGGGGCTCAGAAAGTCAGAAATATAAGGGACAACAGATTAAACCAGGTCTGCAAAAGCTAGCCTGATATCCAAAATACTCAAGGTGAGAGAAAATGAGGAGGAGAACTGCTGGTGAGTTCCTAGGTATGGGGTTAAGAAGTTAAAGAATTCCTCATCTCATGACTTCAGTTTTGTTTGTAGAATGGTATTAAGGAATTATCAGCTAAGATGAAGTGGAGCAAACGGTGGCATTATGAGTTGAAGGACAGTGGAATAAAGATTTAAAATCATCACTGTGAAAAAAAGAGTACAGCTGGATAGAGAAAGGCGTTTGGAGTGAAGCAAGAAAGGTCAGGTTCAGGTTAGAAAGGACAGATTTAGAGTGACAATGTGACTTCCTCCATTAGCACTCAGCAGTCTGGGGGAGGGGAAGATGGGCTGGATTGCAGGAGGGTTCTGTAAATGGCCAATGACTTGGGAGTTAAGGGTCAGGGAAGAAAGAGTCTGGAGAGAAGGCTCACAGAAGGCAGTGGGATGGGAAAGCATGAGCTAAGGAGGAGCTTACAGATGGGGTCATGCAGAAGTCAGCCGGCTGGCCCACAAAGAACAGTGGCACACCTCTGTCACTATCAACCAGTTGTAGGAACAAAAAAATATCGATCTCATACAGGAAGTGAGCAGTGGGGTTGGGGGGAGAGGAAAAGTACCTGTCTTTGAGAAGTTAAAAATCACTATTTGGGGACAGATTTAACATTCATTCTGAATGGACTTTAGACCAATAACTAGAAATTATAAATACATTTGACCCAATGTAAAAAAAAAATGCCAAGAATCACAGTAGTAAACAAAACTCATTTAAAAAGATGAAATGCTGTCTTTCGGATGGGAATGCCCATTTCTAGAGATGTTCAAGGATAGACTTGGGGGAGGAAGGATGGGAGCAGGGGGTCCCTACAGGATGCGGATGTTCCCCAGAGCAGCCCGGAGCAGACCAGAGGAGGGGAAGAGGGCAGCACAGGAGGGCTCGGGCACCTCTCCCTTCAGCCACAGCAAGGCTATGCTTTTATAATGTCACTCAATCTCTGCTTAACATGTGAATGCTGTTTTTGTGTAAATACACATGAAACATCATTGGACTAGGTGATTTTTAAGGTTCTTTGAAACTTAGATGGACTCTTTTTTCTTTTCTCTCTTCCTTTTTGATGAATTGATTTGAATACTTGGTAGAGATATTTTAAATATATATATATATATATATATATATATATATATATATATATATATATATATATAATTTTTGGAGAACTTTAGATTTACTTAAAAGTTACAAAGCTGATATGCAGAGTTTTCAAATGCTCCACACCCAGTTTATCCTGTTATTAAGGGCACATTTGTCATAGTTATTGAACTAATATTAATACAATATTATTAACTGAAGTCTATACTTGATTCATTTTTCCTTAGTTTTTACCTGATGTGTTTTTTCATTCCAGGATCCTATCCAGACCAATTCTTAGACTTTCTTTATTTGTTATTTGTTTATTTGTCAAGCTGGGGATTGGATCTAGGGCCTTCCTCCCTTGAACCACATCCCCAACCCTTGACTTTCTTATTTTTTTTTTCATGATTTTGGTAGTTCTGAAGGGTACTGGTCAGGGATCTTGGAGAGTTCCTCAGTTGGTAATTTGTTCTGATATTTTCTTATGACTACCCTGGAGTTATGGGTTTGGGGAGGAAGATCACAGAGGCCAAGTGTCAGTCTCAGCACATCATATGCAGTCCATTCTACCAACATGACTTATTGTTGATGTTGACCTTGGTCAGCTGGCTGAGTGCCTTAGTACATTTGGGCTTCTGTAACAAGACACACTAAATGTAAAAGCTCTAAAACAACAGAAGTTACTTCTCAGAGTTCTTGAGGCTGGAAGTTCAAAACCTAGGTGCCAGCATGGCTGGGTTTTGTGGGGGCCCACTTCCAGGCTGAAGCCTGCTGATTGCTAGATGTGTCGTCAGATGGCAGAGGGGAAAACATTCTCCCTCTGGTATCTTTCATAAGGACACTGACCAAGATCTGATCACTCTATAAAGGCCCCACCTATTAATAGTATCACATAAATTTTAGGGGAGACACACATATTCAGATCACAGCACTGAGGTAGTATCTTTTAGATTTATCCACTATGAAGTTACTAACCACAGCTATTTTTTAAAAGTCATCATGTATAATCTATTCCTAGAGATCTGACTATTTCAAAGAAAAAAATATTGCCCATTCCTAGGTCAAATACAACATATTTTTAAAAGAATATGAGTAAGTCAATGCTTGTTTTTATGCACATGAGGGCCAAAAAAAACAAACTGAGACCTCTTGAGATGCTTGAGGATGAACCCAAGAAGTAAAGAAATTCGGTACATCTCTTGCTCTGTGGAACTGTATGTAAGCCTCTGCTCTAGAGGTAGGGGGTGGGTGCTTTGTCTGCTCATCTGGCACCAGGGCCCATGCTCCCAGGAATAACCATCTTTTGTTTGACAAACAAAGAATGCTGCTTCAGTGACACTGGGGAGATTCCCCCTCTCCTTTCTAGCTAAGTACAGTCTGTCTGTGATGGTAAACATTGGGCCTCATGTACATGTGTGTAGGCCCATGTGTCAGCAAACAGGCTGCCTCTCTGGAGTACGTGGCAATCCACTGCAAACCATGACTCCACAAGAGGACTGTGCCAATTAGTCCTTCCCTGAAAATCTTCGGGTATACGTCATATCCAGAGCCATTACTC